GGACACGACTAGAAATCAGTGGTTAAGTTGTGTTTACAACACTGTTCCAGAACACTTCAACCCAAATATTCAGATGTGTGCAGCACATTTTATGGAGGACTGTTTCCTGATCCTGGGAGAGTAGACTACAATGCCGGCTGTTCTGACTCACAGACTGTAAGTATGTTTTCAAATTTAAAGGATTTGTCACTTTGACGATTCAAACGTGAGTTTTGAGCAGTGTAGAGTTGCGCTTGTTGTTTGTCATTTCTCCGATCACAAATGCAGACATGGTTTTATGTTTACACAGCGCAATGCAACGCAACGCGTAAAAAGACCGTATAAGTCATTATAATATCCGTAATTATGTCCCCACTGGATGCAACAAACGCCTCGTTTGTAATGGGTTTTAATGTTTTTGTCTCATCGCTCCGGCCGGGACACTCCATCACAGTATGTAAGGGGCGTAACATTTCCGTCACACGCTTGAGGTATTCGGCCAATCACAACGCACTGGATAGCTGACCAATCAGAGCACACCTCGCTTATCAGAACGATGAGCTTTGTAAAAATCGACGCATTTCAGAAAGGCGGGGCATAGAGGAGAAACAATAATGTACAGTATGTGGAAAATAATGTTTTTTTAACCTTAAAATGCATAAACACATTTCATTACATTAAATACACAAAATAATGGTAATATTTGGTAAGGGTTGTTCACCTCTCCAGATAGTCCCGGACGTTATCGTGTCCATAGAATTTGGCGAGTCTGGTGAGAGCCCCGGTCGCACAGCGTCCATCCCGCTTACGACACAGACTGCAGTTACACACTCCTCGACAGATGGGACACTCCCACGACTGCGGGAACACACACACACACACACAGAGAGAGAGACACACACACACACACACACACACAGAGAGAGAGAGACACACACACACACACACACACACAATCAGTGATTCAATGCTTCCAAAAGCCAGAAATCCAAAACTTCTTTTGCAAAGTTCAATATTCCATATTGTCATGATCTTTCACCAAGAATTTTACATTTCATAAAAAAAAATGTGTTTATAAAACATTAGGGCTGGGTTTTGACACAAATTTCACGATTCGATTCTCATTCACAAGCTTGCGATTCCATTTGATTATCGATTCGATTCAATATCGATTATTTTGGATACATGTCAGGTACAGTACTTGCCAAATTTTCTCAAGGAAAAAAAAAATAAAATCTCTCAACTAATGCTGTAAAATATAGGCTACATGAGTCAGTTGGTACTACATTACTATAATATTGAAGGTTAGAATGAACCGATTTGTTAAAATTATGCTTAATGAAGTTTTTAAAATAAAGTTACAATTACAAAATATTTCTACTTCAAATAGTTTTTTGAAATATAAACAATGGTGGCTGTCATAAAAACTTGGATTTATTCAAACAAATTGAAGAACACACAGACACACAGACACACAGACACACACACAGAGTGGAGGACGAACCTTTCAGTTTGACTTCTTCTCAGGAATTAATAATGCACCAAAAATATACATTTTAGTACTTCAACTTATTCAAGTTCATGTTTTTCATCTAATATCTATTTATTAGTTTAAATAGTTTAGTTATTTTTAATTCTTTTTAAATATCGGTCTACTTTTTTTTTCAGGTTATTAGTTGAATTACTTTTTTTTTTTTTTTTTTTAAGATTTATTCATTTTTTACCTTTTTATGATTCAGGAAAGGATAATGCACTAAAAATACAAATTTTAGTACTTTAACTTATTTGTAATTTTTCTTTTAGTTTTTTTATCTAATAATTATATTTTATTTATTAACTAAAAGAGTTAAGTTTTAATGTATTTGTTGTTGTTTTTTTAAATGTATTCAGCTTTTTCCATTTCAGTTTACTAGTTGAAATAGTATATTTTCTCAATTTTGTTTTCAGGTTTCTTTTTTATTTATTAGTTTAGTTTGTTTTAAAAAAAAAAAAATATA